AAGGAAATGTCCTTTTTATTAGAGAATTATTTTGAAGTGCATATGAATGAAGGAACGTAAAGTCTGGGGTTTGCGTTAAAGATCTTCGGAAAAAGAAAAAATAGATGAAAAGAAGGGAAGGAAGGAGAGAGAGAGCGAATATGGCCACTTTGCGGTAACCGTTGAGTCTGATAGTGGACGGGGGATCCCTCCCGCTGTCCTGCTCTTGCACATGTAGGGACTTGCAGGTGGCGGAGAGGTGTTCGGGCCACGCCGTGGAAGGCCAGGCCGGTTGTTTTTAGCGGGTGTTTGAGAGGGAGCTGTGAGAATCCCAGCAACTCTCACTTCCACACAGTAGGTGTCTAGCATTGATTATTTACCCAGTAATCACTAAAATCCAGATTCAGTAAGACAGGTAGACAGTGGGTTTATTTTGGAATTTTTTTAATGAAAGTTCCTTAACCAATCAATGAGCCCAATTTGGACATAGAAGCCAATGGCCACTTTCTGCTCACAATGGCCTTTGCCTTGGAGCTATTTCACAGAGCAGCCTGCTAACCCTGCACCCCCATCAGCGGCTCTCATGGATTCCCAAAGCTATGCGACCGGGAATTTCACACTTGGGAGACTTCGGGGTACACCTGGATGTTGCGGGGCAGCTGGAAAGAGATGGTCAGCAGCCCACTCAACAGCAGGAGGAAGGCAGCCAGAACGGCCACGGGCACGGTGCTGCCCATCTCCTGCCGGTCCGGCCTGAAGGGGATGTGGAAGGATGGTGGGAAGCGTATGCCCTCTTCATGCAACACGGAGTGGCGGTTCCAGATCACAGCAGTGAGGATAAATGCCCCCGCTATGATGCTCAGGACTCCGGAAGCGACGAACCGATTGCAGGTGGTGTCCTTCTGAAGCCGTCCCGCGTACACTCGCAGCAGGCCCGTGACCGTGAGCACTTTCCCCAGGACCCCGAGGAGGCAGGCGGCCAGCAGCAGGTTCTGGGAGATGCGGATGTCCAGCGGCAGGTAGGTGTCACTGTAGCTGTAGCGGTGACAGGCTATGACTCTGCCCTGGGGGCGGTTGTGCTGGTAAGTGCAGACCCTCCACATCCCAATGCAGGCCAGCCCCCGGGAGGGGGCGCTGCTCTCCATGTGCCACACCCGCCACTCGGCCAGGCCCATGCAGGTCATGGCTAAGATCCATCCCAGAGTGTTGAAGGAGAAACTCGCTGCCTGGCAATTGACGTTTTTAAACCTGGCCATGGCTGTTTCCAGGGGATCTGCAAACCAATAGAGGGCGTCATGAGGTGGGACCCATGGCCTGAACGGCCCCCCCGGGGGTGAGCGGTGCTATATTGGAGAGGGAGATGCCATGTTCCAGAATGGAGACACATGACTCCCATGCTCGGCTGGCGAGGGGTCCTTGGGCAACATTTACTGAAAGCCTTCAAATATTCAGACTTTCATCCTGGCAGGGTGCACTAAGTGGTTAGACTCTCATCTGTATTTAAAGGGCCAGTGGTTCTCAACCTTCTGGCCCTTTAAATACAGTTCCTCATGTTGTGACCCAATCATAAAATTATTGTTGTTGCTACTTCATAACTGTCATGTTGCTACTGTAATGAATCGGAATGAAAATATCTGATATGCAGGATGGTCTTAGGCGACCCCTGTGAAAGGGTCGTTCGACCGCCAAAGGGGTTGCGACCCCCA